CCCAAGTGCCTTCACTGCAGAGTCCACGCCTTACTCTCCAGACCAGGGCTGGTCAGCAGCATTGACCAGAACCTCTTCAGCCTCCAGCTCTCAACTATACTTGACAGATACTTGGTTTTTTCCATCACAGCCTCTGCCAGGGATCTCTCTTTGCACTGGCTCATCCTTCTTTCCCTCTATCTGTTGGATGTTCCAGTGATGCCTCAGATCTGGTTTAAAAATCCAGTCCTGTTCTAAAAATAGAGTCCTTACCTCACACTCTAAACCCCTATAGCAAAGGTCTACAAAGTGGTCCACTCACAGAGCTGCTCAGAGAGTTACCTGATCCAGAATACCAACACCTTCTCTTCAGCAGCTTCTCACCCTCTGAGATCCTCTGAGTGAGGTTGAGAGGGAAGGTGCTGTTAGAACATCTCCCCAAACCTACAGAACACCCACCCCCACCCCAGTCCACTGAAGCAGCCTGGGGCAGTGCTGTGTTTTGAATGTCACCTCCAAAACTCATGTGGAAATTTAGCTACCATTATAACAATGTTGAGAGGTGGGAGCTAAGAGGTGATTAGGTCATGGGGGCTCTGCCTTATGAATGGGCTAATGCCACTGTCACAAGAGTTCCTTAGTTGTTCAGGGGATGGATTTCTGATAAAACGATTAGTTTGGCCCAGTTTCTTCTCTCTGTATCATGTGTCTTTCCACCATGTTGCAGTGCTGGTGAAGGCCCTTACCAGATGCCGGCACTATGCTCTTGGACTTCCCAGTTTTCCAGAACCATGAGCCAATTAAATTTATTTAGCCTGTGGCATTATATTATAGCAACAGAAAATGGTCTTACATAGGCAGGAACATGTGGGCCTGTTGCCCCACACCAAGCTGTCCTGGGCCCTGTGAGGAAAGGGAAGGATTTATTTGAAGATAAGTTTCCATTTCTTTTGCATATGAAACTCAAGTTGGACCTGTTTGCTCTCTCATGTGTAATAACCTACCAACTCCCTCCATCATGATTCAAACCACCACCTTCCAAATTCATGGGCAGCCCCCAAGACATGGAGGGTAAGTAGCTGTCTTCATCACTTAAGAGCTGAGAGAGTAAAGAGGGGCAGATCAGTTGCTACTGCACTGTTGTGGGTCTCTCTATACACCCACAGGTCTATATATAGATACTGTAGTTTCCTATGCCACTGTCATCCTTCAGAGTCCATCTTCTGTGTCTTGACAGGTGAGGGTTAGAGGACTGACACTTGATAAGGCCTTTCATGTGCCAGGAACTGTGACAATTCTTCCATACATGCTACTTACCCAACATTTAACCCTCAAGACCACCTTACAAGGCAGATATATTCATTTCCTAGGACTACAGTAACAAATTACTATAAGCTAGGTGATTTAAAATAACAGGAATTCATTCTGTAATTCTGGATAAATCTGAAATCAAGGAGTTTTTTTCTGAAAGCTCTGAGAATCTTCCCCATGTCTTCCTCTTAGCTTCTGGTGGCTGCCAGGAATCCCTGGCAATCCTTGATCCTTGGTAGATGTATCACTCCAATCTCTGCACACATTTTCTCTGTGTCTTTTGTGTCTATAACTCTGTCCAAATTTCCCTCCTCTTCTAAGGACACAAGTTTATGGATCAAGATTCATCCCAGGAGATTCCAAGATGGCGACTAGAGGTAGGAAGCAGAAAGCGACCCTCCTATAGTGAAATCTTGGAGAGACGCTGGAGACACACTTTGCAGGCATAATCACTGAGAAAAGGCATAATTTGACCCTCCACACCTCCAGCGTGCAGAGAATCTCCACTTCACGTTAAATGGAGAAACGAGGAGGGCCCCGGGCCGCCAGTGCCGCGCCCATACGGCTTGGGAAGACGCGGACCAGGTGAGCTTCGCGGTACGCGGTACTTCCACAGACAAGCCTGGGCCAGAGCAGCATAGCCCCTGGACAGACTGACCTCCACCCGGGGAAAAAAAGAGAAACTGAGTAATAAGCAATAAGAACAATAAGACACTGGAAAGAGGGTGGGCGCCCTGAGCGCTGAAGATTGGGGGAAGGGAATCCTTCCCAGACTGTAAATAAACAAGCGGTGGCCGGAGAGCCTCTGTGGGAGCGGGCACCCAGCAACCAGGAGGGAAAGCTTGTGAGAGTGGGAGGGAGGAAAACTCCACAGGAGAGGAGGGAAGACCCACTTCCCACGTGAACTGTAAACAAACATGGCGGCTGGCAGGAGCAGCAGCACCCAGTAATCAGGAGCAGGAAAGCTTGTGAAAGTGGCAGTGGGAGGAAACTCACAGGAGAGGGGGAAGACCCACTCCCACATGAACTGTAAATAAACACGCAGGCCTGACAACACGGGGCAGTGTCACCTTTCCCAGTGCTTGGAAAGGGGAAAGCTGTAGCAGAGGCCCGCACAGGAGAACTCTGAGCAAACAAAGCCTGTGGGCCAGGTGAGTGCTAAGCTCACCCCAGAGATCTGCATAAATAACGCCTCCAGCAACACAGGCTGAGAGCAGCAGGCAGGCAAGCCACAGTTGCAGATACCATTCTCAGAACTGTCTCCAGACTTTTTTTTCTTTTTCTCCCTACCTTTGATGAGAGAACAACAAATTACACCTGCAAGCTGAAAAACTTACTGAAACTGTATTGCATTTGAACTTGGGACATTGTGGGGTTTTTTTGTTTTTTTGTGTGTGTGTGTGTATGTGTAGTTTGTTCTACTTTATGCATCCCCTTTGATGAGACAACTACAGAACAACATCTGAGGCACCATCCAGGACTGGAGACTGAGACGGACACCAAATTATTAAGACTGAAACTCATTGCATTGAACTTGGAAGTTTTTTTTTTTTTTTTTAATTTCTATTTTCCATTTATTTTAATCATTTTATATATAGATATTTCTTTCATTTACTTATTTTATTTTTTTATTTTGATTTTCAATCCTCTCTCTGTCTCTCTAATGTCTGTTCAGCTTACTGTGATTAGTACACTAACACTCCCTGTTTATACCTTTGAAACTTTCTTGTCTGATACCTTGTTCTGCTTTCTCCCTCTTGTCTGTTATTTGTTTTCCCTTTTCTTTAACTTCTTGCTTTCCATCTCAGCTCACCCTTCCATTCTAAATTACCATTGTTATTATTACAAGCTAGAAAATACTTAATTGCACACAGTACAGGGACAGTAACAACACCAAGGACAATGACGGGAAGACAGAAAAAACAGGGAAACCAG